CGCGAAATCCGCCCCCTCCATAGCAGTGCGGCAGAGGTGGCTTCCTGTGGGGGAATGGAAAGAGGAGGAAATCCTGCAGTGGTTGTCACCTCCGGCGGAGTAATTGTGGAAGGAGGGCAGGGGCAGTGAGTCATGTGCTGCCGCAGTGTAGTGGTGCATTATCTTGGCCTGGCGCTGGAACAGCCACTTGCAGGCGTGGGGTCACTCACCCAGCATAGGCAGCAGCTCCCCTGGCAGGCGGGAGTGGAAAGTCAACGGAGGGGCGGCAGGATGAAAACTTTTCCTGCAGGACCCAGAGTGACACTTGTCATCACTCCGTCATCCCGCAGGAAAAAAAATTCTTTAATATATAGTAAAGACAAGCACTGTCTTTGGTTTAAGTTCTGAGTACAATTGACTGGGGTTAAATGACTGATTCCTTGGATCTGGAAGTAATCTGAGTAGTGCTGTGACTTTTGGTGTAACGTGACTATCTATTATACAATGAGAAGTCCGGAGTCACCTTTAGAGACTAACATCTAGTTAGCTAGCTAGCTATTTGTTAGTCTCTAAGGCTGTGTCTACACTACATGCCTCTGTCGGCAGAGGCATGTAGATTAGACAGATCAGCAAAGGTAAATGAAGCCGCGATTTAAATGATCGCGGCTTCATTTACATTTCCATGGCTGCCGCGCTGAGCCGACAAACAGCTGATCAGCTGTTTGTCGGCTCAGCGCGGCAGCCATGGAAATGTAAATGAAGCCGCGATCATTTAAATCACGGCTTCATTTACCTTTGCTGAATAAACAAATCTACATGCCTCTGCCGACAAAGGCATGTAGTGTAGACGTACCCTTAGGTGCCACAGTTACACCATCCAGCCTGCCTGGTTTGCATGGTAGACTGAAATGTCAAAGGGGACTGACTGTGATTCCGTGGTAAGACTTTTAGAATGAAATCTAATTATAGAACATACCATCAATACGGGGGTTTTTTACCCCTGAATCTTGATACTCTGCCTTCAGATTGACACTCATAATTGTGAGCCACTCCAGACAGTGTGACAGCGATATATACTAATAAAAAAGAAATTTTAAATCTTGGAGGAGGTGGTTTCACACAAAATGAGGCAAAATGGTATCCTGACACTAATGCTTAGTCCAGTTGGATGGCACAGGATATGTAATTCTATTGAATAGGTTTGGTCACAAAACTGTAAAAAGTTTCCTGCAGAAAATTGTCTATTTTTCAATCATTTTTTTTCTGACAGTTAAATTAGTTTATAGTAAATTTAGTGGTAGCTTATCAGACATTTATACTTTAATCTTGGCTTTACTGGATTTTTGTATAGCTATCAAAGGGTAATTAAATATTATTTTTCCGGAATACAGTAACCTCTGTACACATACTCCCAACAGATTTGTTTAATGTGGGCTCCATTAAAAATGATCATTGCTAAGGAGGAATAACAATACTGTGACCATGCTGAATAATTTTTTGTCAATTTACTGTAGAATTAATAATAGCTACACTTATTCCTCTTACAATGCCTTTTGAAAAGTATCAGGTTACTAAGAAGAGATACGTGAAAAAGAAACTGGTAATTGTTGTATACCTAGTAGGCATAAATACATTCGATAAAACTTTTTATTATACTATTTAATTAGTTACTACACATCTTTAGAAGAAGATGAAATTTGTTTTATGGATTTGCATAAATAAGATTTGCTTTTTTTCCATTTTAGGAGTACTTAAAATGCTTTTAATTTGGAAGGTAAACATTCAGTTGTGTGCAAGGCCTGAAGTGATGATATGTGCATATATGGGTATTTGGAATCTCACAGTTTAAAAATTGTGGATTTTAAAATTGAACTTTGACATAATTCTATATTCCATATGAAAAAAATCAGGCTACCATTGGCACCACATTCCGGAAATTACCAGTAGGGTAAGGTTCATTCCAACCACAAAAGTAAATAAATTAACTCACTCATTAAGAGCCTGGGGTGTTTAATTTTTTTAAGTTATATCATGAGCCTAATTTAGTGGTAGTCAAGTTCTGGAGGAGTACATTAAATTATTTGGATCCCATTTTTCCTGATTGGACAAAATCATCAAACATTATTTAACGTAATTGAAATAATTGTGTAGGAAGACTTAAGAAACTTGAAAAATGTAGTCTCTGATTCTATCCTTACATAAGTTTTGCAAGATTACCAGTAAGTTGATTTAAATTCATGGTTTAAGTCAATATACGTGAAATCAACACCAGACTCTCTGACCAGTCATGTCACTAAGGCTATGTCTAAACTACATCCCTCTTTCAAAAGATAGATGTAAATTAGACAGATCGAAATTACAAATGAAGCCGAGATTTGAATTTCCCATGCTTCATTTGCATAATGGCGGCTGCATATTCTTTCAAAAACGGGATTTCAAAAGTGAAACCGCCATCTAGATGTGGTTCTTTTGGGGGAAAAAAAACCCTTTTTTGAAAGATCCTGTTCTCCTAAGGGTTTTTTTTTTTCGAAAGAACCATGTCTAGACAGCGGTTTCACTTTCGAAATCCCTATTTTCAAAAGAACACGTGGTCGCCATTACGCAAATGAAGCATGTGAAATTCAAATCCAAGCTTCATTTGCAAGTTGATCTGTCTAATATACATCCCTCTTTCGAAAGAGGGATATAGTTTAGACATAGCCTTTGTGTATGTCTATATAGCCTATGGCAGTGAGCCTACTAGGCTAGGCCAACAGACCCAGACTATTAGGGCTGTGGTGCTGGAAAAATAAACATGTAGGCAACACTTTGAAGTTTGAGATTTAGGTTGAACATTGGGCTCTGAAACCCCCGTCTCTCCTAATCTCTATGATTCAGATCAAGAGCTCCAGCCCAAGCCACAACTTCAAAGCACTATCTATACAGTTATTTTTAAGAATGAGCCCTGCTAGCTTGAGATTGTTGACCCAGGCTTGAAGGCTCACTCCAAAATGCTGTGTAGACATGCCCTAGGAGCCTAGAGAATCATTAATGTGCTTTGATGCATACTGTGCTTTGATGCTCTGTTTGCAGGCACTGCCAGTTCTCTCTTGAATACCATCAGTATTTACTACCTTAGTACACGGTGCCTCTCCCTCCCCCACTTTTCCACATTTAAAATATAGATTTGTTTCATTTCATTTTATGCAAAGATCATCAGCAATGTTCTCTCTCTCACTCACACACGCACACGCTTCTGCCATCCTAACCCAGATCAGGGGCCTTAGAAATTGAGAGTCATCAACTTTCCCTTGGGCAAAACCTGTAAACAATCAGAGAAACAGTAGAAAACAGGCGGTGCTGGGTGAGGGATTCTTGATTACACCTGTGCAAACAATGGGTTTTTCCAAAACACTGTAGGGGAAAAAATTGTTTTGGCTCAGCCTGAAAACATTTACTCTCAACATTTTTACTGAATTGAAAAGTTTTTAAAAAATAATTTCAGACATACTGAAATGTTTTATTTAATCAAAAATTAAATATTGTGTTTACATTTTAAACCTTTTTTAAAATCTTTTTTGCATTTTTAAAGGAAAGGAAATCTTGAAACAAGCAGGCCATTTGACCCCCTCCCCCATCAAAATGTTTCATTTTGAAAATGTTGAAGTGAAATGTTCAGACATTTTAAGATTTGTTCTTGTTTTGTCATGATTTCCAGAATGAAAAATTTGGTACATCTCTCATGAATTTCCTTGATGTCAAATCTCCATTTTTCATCGGGGAAAAAAAAAGTTTTGGCTGAAATTTCACCCTGCCACACTCATGGTCACAATTTAAAGCTACCCTCCTCATAGAAAACCCAAAGGAGTGTGGCAGTGAAAACATACTCCTCAGAACACATCTATCCTTGAACCTCACATAGGTGCTTATTTATGTACTAGGTGGGGGAGATTCCCAAGATGGAGGAAAGGGTTCCAGGCCATATGCCTGCTTCTCCACAAAAACACCAGCAATCCTTCCCAAGAGATCAGAACTAACACCTGAAACACGCACCATACTTAACAATAGGACACTATTACTTAACCTAAGCAAAGACAGGAATAAATCCAGGTCAGAATCTCTGGCTGGAATGACACAAGCACGCTTACCGTGGCACAACATACAGCAAAACAGTCCCACTTGTTTCTCAGATACACAGATTCTCTGCCCCACAATAATGCAATCCCCACAGTCCAGCCTGTCCATGCACTCTGAAAGTGGTATGCATCGTGAATTCAGATTGTGTTCTCCTGTCATCTCCAAGCTTTGTGGCTATAAGCATCCCCTTCTGCAAGTACTTTGGCTGTCCTCCAATCAACTCTTAATTCAAACTTTGCTCCACGTGAATCACTGTTGCTGCTTCTCCTGCTTCCCGTCTCTCTCTTTGTTGTCTTCCCAAAACATTCCAGGCTTTTTTCTTGTGCAACCCCAGTCTATTTATTTTGTTCAACCCCTTGCAAGTGAGTCCATAATTATTTCTGTGTCCACGTTTTGGAATGGAACTCTCCATCTCTCTCTTCTCAGACAACTGGATTTACGGAGAGAAGCGGAGACTGGAGAAAAGGAGGGAGAAAGGAAGGTACTGGAACTTTCTTCTGCACTTCCAATATGGTAAGCCTTTTGGTTAGGCTCTTAATGTGGGTCACTGCGGAAGAAACTGTAGGAAGAAACTGTGCTTTAGGTACAACTTTTTGAAGCACAATCACTCTGTTGCAGCTATGTTATACTGTAATGGGGTGTGTGTGTGCAACATCAGCTGTTTCAGAGACTTAGCAATCTTTCCCTGTGTGACTGGACATGCCACATTGGGTGTAATGTGCAGAACCATGGCTTTGTCTGTTTCCTGCTTCTCACTACTTACTTCCTCAGACAGGGAATGTAGTATGTGGGAAATGTAGTCCATGGGTTTTCATCCTGCTTCCACTCAAAACCTTAGTAGGTTCCCTTTGGCTGTTCAGGGAGATGTGGAAGAGGTGCTTTTCTTGTCCACGTACGGGATTGTAACTAATTTCCTGAAGGGAGGTTCCAAAGGGGATGAAGAGAAGCTGTTCTCAGTAGTGATGGATGGCAGAACATGGAACAGTGGTCTCAGGTTACAGTGGGGGAGGTCTAGGTTGGATATTAGGAAAAACTATTACACTAGGAGGGTGGTGAAGCACTGGAATGGGTTACCTAGGGAGGTGGTGGAAACTCTATCCCTAGAAGTTTTTAAATCCCAGCTTGACAAAGTCCTTGCTGGGATGATTTAGTTGGAATTGGTCCTGCTTTGGGCAGGGGGCTGGACTCAATGACCTGAGGTCTCTTCCAGCCCTAAGATTCTATGATTCTATAATGTATTTAAAGGAAGCATTCTTGAGGCCATTCCATACACTGTAACAGCTTGCCATGTTATCACTGTACTTTTGCAATACATACTGAAGCAGAGATTTTTCACCATTCAAATTCTGAATTTTGTTTGATTCTGTACACAAAAGTAATCAGATGCAAAAGACAGTTGAGCACTCTTTACTCAGAACTTTACCTTGAAATTAATGCACAGAACTGTCCATCTGGAACTATGCTGGATTTAACAGGACTTCTAATCATTACAGCCATCTGTACTGTGTAAAAACCTAGGGGAAAACCCTACCAGTTAGTTCATTTTTTTCCTTGGGGCTTTATTTTTTAAATAAAAGGAAAACATAACCAAAAGCCCTTAATACCAGAGAACATTCAGGACATGAAATAGTGTTAAAAGAAAGCTGACATGCAGAATAAAGTTTCCAAAGTGCCAAATAAAAGGCCCCAAAATCATGCAGATTACATTGTGTATCTACATGAAAAATCCATGGAAAAAATGTTAGAATTAAATAGTTGCATTCAATATTCTGTACATGTCTTCTGATTTACCCAAATACTAAACTTATTCCAATTGACTCTAAAAGGAATGTTGAAGGCATTTGAAGTAAGGGAAAATTTTACTTTAAATAGAGCCTGTTATCAAGGGGTTTCTTTATAGAACAATGTAACATATCTAAATCATCCCTGAATAACTAGAAGGATAACCCACATTTTTCCCCTGGCTTTCAAGGATAATAAAACACACTTTGCTCTAATGCAGAGATCTAACCCAAATCTTTCAACAGCTTTTTCTTGTTTTACAAGCAAAGCCTTTGTTTTATCTTAGGTTCCTTTTTTTTAATCTTTATCCTTTTCTTTTCTACACCCATCAGTCAAAGTGGTAATGCATCAGTTAGCTAATTCATTATTAATATTGTGATCTTAATTTTAACTCCTCTTGCAGTTTCTTTCGTACAATCACTGAGTTCAACATGAACCTGGGTCTTAATATACCAATTATGGTTGTTCTTTTAAAGCACATAGTTACACTAGGTTATATGGCATCAAAGACCAGGGTTACCCAAACTGCAACACTGATCAGAGTGAACAAAATGATCTATGGACAGAAGTGCATCCTCTTGAGATCAAAAGAACGAAGTGTCATGAAGCTGTTCTCTTTTATTCTTATCATTCAACTATTCATTAACCTTCTACCACCTAAGGGTATGTCTACACAGCAAAGTTATTTCGAAACAACAGCAGCCATTCCATTATTTTGAAATTAATTCAAAATAACAGAGGACTTATTTCGAATTTGGTAAACCTCATTCCACGAGGAATAGTGCCAATTTTGAAATAAGCACTGTGTAGACACTTATTTCGAAATGGGGGCATCCAGCCCTTCCGAGGGTGCCTTGCTGGCCGTCCTGGCCACAAGGCAACTTCTGACTTGATGCCCTGCCAGAACTGGTTCCAACTAGCCTTAAATGCGATTCAACGTCCACTCAGTGTGGACATGCTATTTTGAAATAGAAAAACGCTATTTCGAAATGCATTTTCTGTGTAGACACATTATTTTGAAATAAGATATTTCAAATTAACTATTTCAAAATAGCTTATTTCAAAATAACGCTGTAGTGTAGACATACCCTAAGAGAGGTCATTTTAGATTGAAGATTGGGGAAAAAAATCATCCTGAATTTTAATCCAGGGAGATCTTGGCTGTTCCACATTTTTTTTTTTCTTTTATTGGAAATAAATTAGCATGGTGTGTAGTTGGTTTGGATGAGGCCATATAAATACCTTGATAGATATAGCTTTTTATCATTCTGTGTTGCATTTTGGAAAAAAAAATGTGCCTGTATTAACAACATATTGGTTTGAACATATTGTTTCAAACATGACTGAGCTGAACTGGTTAATCTACAGCATATAACTCTAAACATCTTGGACGTTAGTGACCCTCCAAGAAGGTGAGGTAATTAAGCTAATGCTGATTGTTTTACTTTTAAATCATAAGACTCTTCTTTTTTCTTTCTGATCTGAAACCAAGCTGACATTGTGTCTCTTCATATGATGGTAACTTTTATTTTTTTTTCTTTTACATGATTCTCTAAGTAACTGTACTACATCAGGTAATCCTAAAAAGCTGAGTCTTATGCGAGTTTGGGGATTATAGAAGAAAAATGACAAAGCAGTACTTAGATCAAGATGATCATTAGTGACTAGGATATGACAACTGAATTCAGTCTTGTTCTGTCCCTTTTCCTGTGGAATCCCACATCATTGGGATCAAAACTGCTGGAGGGAAAGAAATAGAACCAAATGGGAACATCTCTCCTTCCTTTCAATTCTACGGGAGTTGAAGGTGGAAACCAAACCTCTGATGGGTTGTTCCCTACTGCAGGTTCTCGTTTGGTACTTGTCATTTGTTCCCACATCCGATACAATCTCCTCTTTTTGTCAAAACTCCCAAGAGGCAGCATTTTGCTATTTTCTCTTTACCTGACTCAGAGGCATCTTGTGTTGCATTATTCCATATCAATTTACTAATTGATATTACTACTTTTTTTTGCAGAAACTCCCTGTTAGCACTTCTGAACTGGTAACAGGGCAGGCTAATGTCTATCTTTGGTACCTTTTCTCTCTCATCCTCCAGAGTAGAATATGTTTTGTTAATGACAAGGCTCTACAGATGTTTTTTCTCTGCACTATTACCCTTCACAATTGCCTTATTCATCCTCTTTATAACTTTTTCTTCAGGCACATGCTTGATCTCAACCCACAATGTTCCTGGTAGTGTTGTGCTTCATAAGCCATCTGATTTGGCATGCTTAGTTTCTTCCATTGATCTTCACTGCTGTTCAAGCTCTTTTGTGTTCTCCATATGAGATGGGGGAGAAAAAAAGAGTAAAAATCTGATCTATAGCTTCAGCACTGGATTCAGATAATTTCTCCCTCCACATATTACTTGTGCCTTGGGATACAGTAGTTTAGCTTCTTTTCATCACCACCATGCAAATACCATTAATGAAGGTGATGATTAAAATGCCGTCTGAGAAGGATAGAAAAAGGCTACATAAACATGAGCAATACAATACGTTTTATTGTTTATTTAATGTCAGTTTCAGTCTATGACTATAAACTACAGTGCTTATATTTGACAGAATGAAAGTAAATATAATCATAAGAATTTTAGTTAATGCTTCATTTGGGTTTTTGCTCCTGATAACTCGTTTTAGAGTTAATGTATTCTCCCAAAAGAGCCTCAAATGTATTAATTTCATGGATTACACAACATTTGCATGAACAGCAAATAGAAAACCAATACTCACTTTTTTTTCTTTTATTCAGGGTTCGTTGATATTAAAGGATGGGAAGATATTACATAGTCACAGCAGGCAATGTGTCTGCTGGAAAAAAAATGTGCATCATCATACTTCCTTATGGAAATGTATCTTAGGAGAAGACTTTGGCTTGTTGATTGGGATCTCTGTCCCTTTCCTTTTTCCTTTCTGAGCATATACCTAAATGCCCTAAAAATTTACTCTGGCTATGTTTAGGCTGCAGACTTCTTTCAGAGGAAGCTTTTCTGGAAGAGATCTTTCAAAAAACTTCTTCCGAAAGAGAGCATCTACACAGCAAAAGCACATGGAAAAAGCGATCTGCTTTTCAAAAGATAGCGTCCATTCAGTGAGGACACTATCTCCCGTTTAAGCTGTGATTACTATGGATGGAGTGGCTACCTGGGCACCTGTGCTTTTTCCTCTTTCCTCTTCTTTTGAAAGAACTCCCTCTTCCCCATCCACACACGCCTTTTTCCGAAAGAAAGAGCTCTTTCAGAAAAAGGCTTCTTCTTTGTAGAATATCAGAAAATATCTGTTCTTTGTGGGTTTTTTTTTAAATCAGCTTTCATATTACATAATGAACCAGGCAAATTGTGTGATTACTTATTGAACAGAAATCTTCTTTTAGCATTTAAAATATCTGCAATGTTTTCTTTTTATCATCCAATGCCACTGTAGCAGCACGTAAATCTGGGATAATATAAAATAATAAAATCTACAATAAAAACTGTGGTTTGTAACCTATTCTTTAAATCAGCTTCTGTACCCAAGGACTGGAAGACAGCTAACATAACACCAATATTTAAAAAGGGCCCTAGAGGTGACGCTGGCATTACAGACAGGTAAGTCTAACATCAGTATTGGGCAAATTAGTTGAAACAATAGTAAAGAATAAAATTGTCAGACACATAGAAGAACATAATTGGTTGGGCAAAAGTCAACATG